TGGGCCGAATAAGATGTCTTTTGTCGATCGTCGAGTGTGTACCGTTTAAGGCTAGTCGGGTAGAGCAGTCTACTCTTAATCTGTTTTGGCTTGGATCCTTGTGGTTATCATTACTCCCTCGCCTCCTCCTCTTGACTCCCCAGTGCTCCAAATGTGGAGTTTGTACACTGGTCTACAACATAAAGCTTTACACTGGCGGGAGGAAAGGACACTTGAGGACAGTAGACGGAATCGAAGCATTTACTCTATATGCTGTCAAAAAGGACAAGTCGATTTGCCGATGTCCGACCCGCTGACACCGACGGTACCCGATTGGATTCAAGACTTGTTGACAGGAAAGAGTGCATGTATGTCCAAAAGTTTTATTTCGAGCCGAGACAAATCTATTATGAAAGTTGACTTGGGTTAAAATCTTAGCCGCGAGAAATTTCCAACGTCTGATCCGAGCATATAACAACAGTGTCTCCTTCACCTCTCTCGGTACCACTTTCAAACAAAAGAATAATTCTCCTGGTGGTCCAAATGTATTCACTATCAAAGGAAGTCTTGGTCATAGGATTGGTGATATCATCCCACCCCACGGCCACGCACCGAAATTTGCTCAAATCTTTGTAGTCGGTGGTGGCGGCGAAGGAGAGGTACACACCAGAATGAGAGCTGCAACCTCAAGCTCCGTTGACACACCGATCTCCTCGATTTCTTTGGATCCCGTAATTATCGAAAAGTTGCAATCATTTATGTACCAATATAATCCTTATGCAAAGGCCTTCAAATCGGCTGCCGAGATCGCTTTGGCGAATCAAGCGACGAAACTTGTATTTACGACTGTGAAGTATACTGGGAAGAACAATAAGCGCTATAACGAGCCAACAGTGGACGAAATTGGATTCATTGTCTCAGGCTCAGGTCTGGTTAAAGACAAAAGGCAGATTCAATTGACTACACAATCCGGGCAACTTCAATATATTAGTGATCTGCACTCAGCTTATTTCCCGCTTCGATATCCATTATTCTTCTTGTACGGGTCCCAGCAGTGGGAGCCAACTTATAGAGCAAGTATTGGCAAGTGTGAGTGTTGTAGTTGTATAGAAGTGAGAACGAAGCTGATTAATCGATTGCAGGTCGAAAAGTGTCACAGCTCGAATGGTTTGCATATCTACTCTTCGTCCGAACTGGCACCTTCTCAAGCATCCTCCTTGGGCGCTCCTTGTTCCAAGAGTTTCTGGTAGATATGTATATATGTGTTGAGAGGTCTCGATTGAACTGGTTCAAGAATAATCAAGACAAATTACAAATCCAGATCTACAATGGAATCGTCGAATCATTTGAAAGTCAAGATAGCGCTTCAGGCAGAAGGATTGTTCTCCCTTCGACTTTTATTGGTGGTCCTCGCTCGCTCTCTCAACTATTTCAAGATGCAATGGCACTTGTTTGCGAGTTCGGTGCGCCTAGCCTATTTCTTACAATGACAGCAAACAGTAGCTGGCCAGAGATCAAAGCTGAGATTCCAGAAGGGGATGATCCGTCAAACCATCCCACAACAGTCGCTCGTGTGTTCCATCAAAAAATCAAAGAGTACTTACGGCAATTGCTGAAAATGAATCGATTAGGAAAAGTTGTGTCTTATGTTTATACAATAGAATTTCAGAAGCGTGGCCTTCCACACATTCATATGATGCTTACTCTTGATGAAAGCTCTCGGCCAATGACACCAGCAGACGTCGATGCGTTAGTTTGTGCTGAAATTCCGAACAAACATGACGAACCGAGATTGCACGAGATCGTAACCCGATGCATGTTGCACGGGCCGTGTGAAGGTCGAGCTTGTTACATTAACGGGAAGTGCAAATACCGTTATCCGAAAGAATTCAAGGATGAAACCGATTTTGTGGAGGATCGTACCCTGCTTATCGACGACGGAAAACTGGAATCACTGTCAAGAAAGGAAATAAGATTTTTGATTCAAGAGACGTTGTTCCATATAACAAGTTTTTATCATTATATTTTGATTGCCACATCAATGTTGAAGTAGCGGTCGGCATTGAAGCAGTCAAATATATTTATAAATATATCACAAAGGGTCATGATCGCAGCTATCTGTCGTTGGAGGATCAAGATGAGACAAAGAAGTTCATCGATGCGCGATATATTAGTCCGCCGGAAGGTTTGTGTCTAAGTCTTCTGTTTTTAAAGGTCACCAGTTGATTTTGGATCTTTTTTAGCTGCGTGGCGACTGTTCCAATATGACATGTCAGATCGGTACCCGGCAGTCCAACGACTGGCCCTCCATGATGAGAGTGCGAAGAAGTTGAAGTTCAAAAAGCCAAAAGGAGACATTGAAGAAGTAGATTCAGGTGAACCGGGAACGACCACTTTGAATGATTTCTTTCGCGCTTGTTCAGAAAACGTATCCGCACTCGGCCATCAAGCAAAGGACTTAACGTATCAAGAGTTCCCAAAGTATTTCTGGTGGGCGGAAGGCAAAGAATGGCGCCCTCGATTGCGTCCAACGGAGACCGTCGGACGGCTTCACTTCATCTCAATCCATCAAGGCGAGCGTTATTATATACGATTGCTTTTACTGCATAAGCGAGGGCCGACTTCTTTCAAAAATTTACGCACTATTGAAGGCGTTGTGTATGATACATTCCGAGAAGCAGCGGACGCTATGGGCTTACTTCTGAACGATAATCATTACGATCAAGCCTTAACTGAAGCCTCCCATTTTAAGACGAGGTTTGAGTTGCGTTTAATGTTTGCACTTATACTTGTGTATAGCCCGCCCGCAAATCCAGAAGCTTTACTCTCAAAGCATATGCAAATACTCGGCGATGATGTCGAAGAACTTCTGAGAAGAAGATTTGGTTCTACCTCTCCGGGACGCGAAGATATTGAAAGTTATACACTCTGGCTTTTGCGCCAACATTTAATTGAAATGGGAAAATCGTTTCATTCGGTTGGACTGCAGATTTCTGGTGAAAAGAGATTCAGGATAGAAGTCTATGATAACGATCCAGAAGAAGTGTTTGATGTGATAGAAGCGTCAAGAAGGCTCAGTCTAAATCAGAAGCTTTTCAATAACGAGCAGCAGACGTTCTTTACGCAAGTTGTTTTTGCCGTCAATCAAAAACTCAGTCGATTGTTTTTCCTTGATGGTCCAGGGGGGACTGGAAAAACTTTCGTTCTGAACACAATTATAGACGCAATCAAGACCAAAGGAAAATCAGTAGTCGTCGTAGCGTCTACAGGTGTCGCAGCGCTGTTATTGTCTACAGGCCAAACAGCGCATTCAGCCTTCAAATTGCCCATAAATTTGGGTCCGGAAACCGCCTGCGCCATTGAAGAAGGGACTGTTCAGAGTCGACGACTTTTGGCCGCTGACCTTATCATTTGGGATGAAGTTGTAACGATGCACCGATATGGCATTGATGCGGTTGATAAATTGTTCCAGAAGTTGACATCTTCTGCAAAGCCTTTCGGAGGAAAGTGTGTGTAATTCTCAGGAGATTTTAGGCAAACATTGCCAGTAGTTGGTGAAGAAGAAACACCGCCCTCGGCACATGCGACATTGAAATCTTCAAAGCTCTGGCCGCGCCTAAAGAAATATGCTCTATCAGAAAACATGAGGCTTGTAAAAACAGCGGATGGAGGACATGATATGAAGATCAAAGGTTTCGGGCGCGAGTTGTTAGAAATTGGTGAAGGAAGGTCTCAGGACGACTTTGCGGCGAGGATTGAACTAAAATGCGTTGAAATTGAAGATACCCTGTCACCACTCAAGCTTATCAGTGAAGGGGTTAAAAGAATATATGACGATATTGGAGCTCAGGCTACCAAAAATCAAAGCGATCAGATCAACTATTTATGCAATCGTTGTATATTGACACCACTGAACGCTGACTCATGGGAAATTAATAGATTCGTCCTCCACCTCATGGGCCAACCGATAAGGATTTCGATTTCAGTAGATAGACCTGATGAAGAAGCTATTGATACACTTCCGGAAGAAAGTCTCAATAATATGGAATTTGTGGGGTTTCCAGAGCATCAACTTCATTTGTGCATCGGCATGCCCATAATGTTATTGAGAAATTTAAATATAGCTCAGGGTCTGTGTAACGGGACGCGTTTGATAGTTACAAGGTTAACGGACCGAACGATTGGTGCGAAGTTCTTGACTGGCCCTAGAAAAGGAAAAGAAGTCACATTGCCGAAGATCTTATTACGACACAAGGGGGGAGGCAAAGGCGAAGGTTTCCTTCTACAGGCACCAATTCCCAGTTGTTGCTTGTTTTTCTATGACTATTAACAAGAGCCAAGGCCAGACTTTAGAAAAAGTGGTCGTGATGTTGAAGTCGCAGGCTTTCGCTCATGGACAAGTTTATGTAGCTTTGTCACGGGTGACAGATCCGAAAAATTTGTTCGTAATTCAACTGGGCACCACAAATAAGATTACTAATGTTGTAAATAGAGAATTATTTGATTAATGAGAG